CTCTTTATTCCAGCAACACTGTCATGTCTCAAGAGACAGAAACACTGTCTTTCACAGTGTAATACCAGTTGTTCCTATCACCCCCTCCCCCCCCAACCAAGGCAGTGAAATGTCCTGTCACGTCCAGTTTAATGGGGGCTGTACCTGTCATGTAATCAATCACAGTCATACAGTTTCCCCCGTCCAACACCGGGTTTTAATCTGATTACCTCCACAGTCTAACGATAGTGGACTAGAGTGAGAAGCTCTCCCTGGAACCATGTTTGTTTACATAATGAATTCTCTCTCTCATGGTGTGTAACAAATCTTGTCCTTATCATTCCTTCGAGTACTTTACAAGGGTTGTACATTAGTGACGCTGGTCTGTGAGTGAGTGAGTGAGTGTGTGTGTGTGTGGTGTGTGTGTGTGTGTGTGTGTGTGGTGTGTGTGTGTGTGTGTGTGTGTGTGTGTGTGTGTGTGGGTGTGTGTGTGTGTGTGCGTTAAGTGCAGGTGTGTGAATGTACATATGGGCTCATATATCTAAATATATCGATGTACAGTAGTCCCATATACACACATATATATATATATATATATATATATATATATATATATATATATATATATATATATATATATATATATATATATATTGTATTGTTCATGTTAGTAACTGCAGTTGCCTGAGAAAGCTCCGCCTGGGGAGCACTGGCAAAGTCAGGTGAGCTAAGTGTGGAGAGATTTACCTTAGCTTGTTGAATCTCAGCAATGAGAGCAGCTAACACGCCTCGTGCAACATGCAAATGACCTGCTCTTACTTGCTGATGCTGCTGTTTGCAACCTGCAACACAGAGACATTGTGAAGCTTTGCTATCCATTTGGCTTTTGTTGCATTAATGTTCAGGTTTTGACTGACGCAAGACTTTCACTATGTACATTATTATATATATATATATATATATATATATATATATATATATATATATATATATATATATATATATATATATATATATATATTTATATATATATATATTATATATATATATATATATATATATATATATATATATATATATATATATATTCCCTATTAAGCCAACTTTTTCTGACGTAATATATTTTTCTATTTTGTTTTATGAAATGATAAAGTTTTCCATTACATTATACATGAGTGATTTTTTTTTTAATTTGAGTTAAAACTAATGTAGAAATATGACCAAACCTAACCTAACTTAAACTAACAAAACTCTATCAGTAATTCATATTCCTAATATAATACAATATAATATTTATTTAAATCAATTGGATTTTTTTTGGGAGGGAACAGCTAAAATCACTCTGGTTATTAGGCAAATCGGGCTTTGCATACTTGGCCGAGTAGTGCGTTCTGGCTATTAGGTATGACATATATAAATATATCTTTATATGAGAGAGAGAGAGAGAGAGAGAGAGAGAGAGAGAGAGAGAGAGAGAGAGAGAGAGAGAGAGAGAGCAAATGATATATGATAATTTCATTAAGATGAAAACCATTTGCATTTGTTTGTGTACTTTTCTAAATAAAAAAAAAGTTTTTCATTATTCAAAATGAGTTTCCAAATTTTTGGAAATTATCAATGAATTCGTCCATCTTATCAGGATATTTTCTGTATAAATGCTCTACAAGTCTTGATTCAAACTTCATAACTTCATTTGAAAATGAACTGTTACATAAAAGATACATAAGGCTGTTTTTGCGGTACAACAATTCTAGACAGCGGGGCATTAGGTACTACGGACCGCATGGCCCCGGAATGTGCTCTTAGGTAAGTACAGTTAGGTAAGCACTCTCGACTCACCCCCCCCCCCCCCTCAGCCCGGGCAGTCAATGATGCCATATCAGGCTGGAAGTGACATATTAAAACAAAACCTATATATATACGTCTCCAAATTATTTTTTATATATACATCATCGAAGGAGATTGATTAATTTTCCAGATTGTTTTCCTTCTGTTTTAATTATTATAATGTAAATGCAAAGGAATAATAGCATGCATTGCATAAATGGATTTCAAATGAAATGCAAAAGTGGAAACTAGCAACTATTTGAGGGGATATTTGCCGAATGTCACAGAAACTAGTTCCATTAAAATTGTGTATCTCTAGCCATATATATATATATAAATATATTTGATGTATATGATTTGCTCATAGCTTGTTTCCTGAGTAGATGTGTTCGTCACGAGTAAATCAGAAGGTTGGAAACTGCTCGCATATTCTGAGTGAAATGTCACGCAAGTGATGGTAGCCGGAACGTTACATGGCTAAATTTATTAAAATATATTGCTCTAAGCGAGCGTAATGCAGGAATAGAATGTAAATGTATATATATAGAGAGAATTTAAATAGGGTTTTTCATATATATATTATATACACATAGTAGACCTAGAATACACATAATATATTTTGCAGAAATTAATACACATGATTCTTATTCGGAAATTCCGTGGCAACAATCCCTGACATGAGAGACACTCTTGCTATCACCAGTTCCCTGATATAAAGCTCACAAAATCTTTAAAAAACCAAACACCTCTCATAGCAAAATTCAACGCAAGAAGAATACATCATTAACGCACAAAAACTAACGCAAAAATTTACGCAGTGCGTTAAAGACTAGCGAGCAACCCCCCAGAGCCAGCCCGCCGCCCTCAGGGGCTACAGGATGTAAACAACTCACTCGGTCTACTAGACTGACGCCTGCGCTCATCCCACACCATCATTACCGGCTCTTTTACCGACTGTTTTGTGGCCGTACTAACCTCCCATTAGCCCCAGCTGTGCGTGTCTGTGTTCTCTGGGATGGGAGGCCCCTCGCCAAGCAGGCTACGGCTCCAGCAGTAGTCGGTAACTGGCTGTGAACAGCCGGGAACACATCAACAAACCCACCACCGTCACGCGGCGCACTACACCAAAAAGGTACTACAAATGTGTGTTTTGCGTGTATGATAACTTTGCTTTGCGTTGTTGATATGCGTATTTCGGGCGTATGGAGCCTCACAAGAGCTTATTTGTTTAAGTCATTCGTTTTCGATAGGTGAATGAACGTATATATTGGGATCTGTGACGAGACATCCAGACGAGCGAGGCTGAAACTTTACGTTCAAGAGGAAATGGCCATGAATGGCAATCCCTGCGAAGATTCGAATTGTCAGCTGGTTTTGTTAGCGAGACGGGTGTTGTGTGGGTCTTGTTTGTGGCAGTGGGTGTTGTGTGGCTCTTGTTTGTGTCAGTGGGTGTTGTATGGCTGTTGTTTGTGGCAGTGGGTGTTGTGTGGCTGTTGTTTGTGGCAGTGGGTGTTGTGTGGATCTTGTTTGTGTCAGTGGGTGTTGTATGGCTGTTGTTTGTGGTAGTGGGTGTTGTGTGGCTGTTGTTTGTGGCAGTGGGTGTTGTGTGGCTCTTGTTTGTGTCAATGGGAGTTGTGTTATGAACCCCACCATATAGCCTTATGATATAGGCCCTGCCCCAAAGTGAGAGTTATTCCTCACTTAGTCGTACAGAGGATCCCGATGGACATTTTAATGTAAGTTGCGGATATGAGTAACTTTATGAAAACAAGATAAGATGTCAACAACATGTGACATGCCGTGTGCAGAGGGCTGGCGACGTCACTTGCTAGTGTGGAGGTCAGAGGGAGAGCACGCATTTTGTCGCTCCAGAGGAAAGAGGATAGTGTGACGTTGTGGAGAGGAATCTAAAAGAATCATCAAAAGTGTTGTGAGCAGTGGGAGGATGTTTTATGGCGTGCATCTCGTGTAGTAGCGACAAGGAGGGCGACCAGAAGCCTGAGGGGTGGTAGGTCCAAGAAGCCTTTGAATCCATAAAGAGGATCTGTTGGCAGGTAGACCCCGAGTTGGTATCTGTGGTACCCCACACTCAAGTCTAAGACTTTGAGAAGTCAACAGTGCTGGTTGAAGGATGATTTCAAGTCTAAGACTTTGAGAAGTCAACAGTGCTGGTTGAAGGATGATTTTTGGGCGACCTGGAAGAGCGCCATTTTGGCATCGGGCAACAAGCGTCGTCACTTCTACAATTTTGCAGGAAGAACCTTTAATTACCATAAGTTGCCTAGTGTAGAGAAGACAAGTGCCCAGTGATCTTACACTGACGTTTAGGCGTACAGATTCGTCATGCATGCAGTGATAATGAGATTATATAAGGAAGTTAAAATGAAATTATATGATGAAGGCAAGAGCGACACATCCTCATTCAACGGTGGTCGGCAGTTGACTAAGAGGGCTCCCCAGCTGGTGGGGATTCTCATTGTGGACTCGCCCAGAGAGGGGGGAATACCTCCGCAGTGCACACCGGCGGATGACTGAGGTGTTGCAAGAGATTTATTTTAGCCATTTTATAGTTTTTTTACGCACGGAGATCATTTTGTTATGGTAAACTTGTAGGTTCATGCATGGTGGATGCAGTTCATGCATTGTAGATGAAGTAGCGTGTATGGGAGCTGCAAGAAATTTTCACCTACTCGAGGACCAACCGATGAACATTACTGCTGTTGGTTTACCAGAAGATTAAACGGTTAGGAAGAGACCTGTTTGCTTACAAGGAAAGTTAATCTATTAGACGATATAAAGAGGATTGACGGGTTGTCTGAGTCTGTGAGAGGAATATATATATATATATATATATATATATATATATATATATATATATATATATATATATATATATATATATATATATATATATATATATATATGTGTGTGTGTGTGTGTGTGTGTTGGTGTACTTGACGCAGTGAAAGGGAGGCGGGAGTAGTATATATTCATTCATTATTATTGATTTATATATTGAAGCCTAACGCTGGTGGTAAAGTGATTGCTGCTCGGCAAGTTTATAAGGAAGAGCAAATAGCAGCCTAAGGTAGAACATTTTGATAAATAGAAATCATATGGAAATATAGTGGCATTTATAGTCAAGGATATTTGATAGTGACCTAAGATTAAATCCCCAGTCTATTGATGGTAGAGCGACTAAGATATTATTTATGGGTGTTCTTGATAATTATTGACAATGATGCTGTATAGAATTTCATGGATATTTTCATATTGATTTCACATATATGTATGTTAATGTGTACCATAATTGCTTGAGCTATTATTTACTGAATTCTGGAGGTTTGTGACTAAGACACGTACTACAAGTTTGAACTCTGCCCAAATCACCAACTTATTATTACTTTTTGTTTTCCTGTGTTTGTAATCAATGTTTGTCTGTTAGACAACAGTGTTTGCACTTGTTCATGTAAGGGCTCAAATAAAGAGCGAGGTGAATACTCTGAGCTACAGACCAGACAACAATATACAGAAACTAAAGGGAACTTGAGGAGGACACCAGAGTTGAGGCGAGAAGGATAAGTCACCGTTGCTCGGGTGTGAACACGTGACGGTGGGATGTTTCTAAGCCGAGTACCTATCATAGTGAAGTTAAGACCCCTCCTGTGCAATTAGACTCGTTTCTGGGTGATTCCCCAATGAGTGATCTGACTGCGTGCAGGGTCTGAAGTTGCAGCAACAGAGTGTGTCTGCTCTGCTGGTGTTCGGGTGTTCTTGTTTTTTATTTATAAGTGACTCCCTGATAGGTTGGGAGGCTCTAATAGTTTTTTTGTGTCTGTTTATGTTAGTGTGTTGTGTGTTGTTTGTGTGTGAGGGCTGATCTCACGTCCCAGTGATCTCATGTCTATGTTATCTCACTTCCCTCTGATCTTATATGTCCAGGAAGATAGCCGCTACTGTTGATATGTCAAACCACACAACTCGAAGCACTATACTAGTCGAGGGAGTTTCATATACCTGTATTTGTCGATGAGATATATATGTTATACTAGTTGAAAATGTTTGTTATACTCATCATGGGAGTTCATATATTATATTCGTCGAGGACTGTATGCAATCTTAGTACATGAGTGTTCTATATATATATATATATATATATATATATATATATATATATATATATATATATATATATATATATATATATATATAATAGCTTTTTCACTAACTTTTGATAATATCTTTATAATTTTTTAGCTCTATACATAATACATTTATATTGATATCTTTATCTCTAATAATAAGATCTTTATCTCTATTGATAATAGCTTTTTCACAATTTATAATATCCTCATACGTAATATCTTTATGTTGAAATATTGATAATATTTTTTATCACTAATGATAATATCTCTATCTGTTGATAATATCTTTATCTATATTGATAATATCTTTATCTCAATTCATAATATCTGTATTTATATTATCTTTATCTTTATATTTTGTCACTATTGATAATATATTTGTCTATTGATAATATTTTTGTCAATTGGTAATATCTTTATTGATTATATCGTTATCTCTATTGATAATATCTTTGTCCTCATTGATATATTTATCTCTCCTGATGATAGCTTTATCTCTGTTGATAATAACTTTATCTCTGCAGCAATCTCTGTGGGAACACTACAGGAAACACAAGTTACAACACTGCACAAAAGGACTCAACATTTTGAGAACTCTTCATTACTGGAGTCAAGGTATGGGCGTTTGTACACCTGTCTTGTACATGTGTGGGAAGTGTGGGTTGTGCATGCGCTTTTTGCTCTTCTTTGTTCTTAGTCTTAACTGGCCTCACCCTAGATGCAACCCACAACAGTCCCCTAAATCATGGGGGTGCCTGTTTATTGGTAGATGAACAGAGGCATCAGGTATAAGGTCCTCCTAGGTAAACGACTGACCTTCCCCAGGATGCAACCGTCAATAATTGCCTGACTCTCAGGTTCCTATTTTATGCTAGGTAAACAGAGACATCAGTTGTAAGATCATCCTAAGCCATTTCCTGTTCCTCCTCAGGCTGCATCCCCCCCAATAACAGCTTCTAAGCCAACGTTCCCGAACTTCGTGTCCTGCCTGGGATTCAAACCCGGGACCATTCGGTTGTGAGCTGACTGTATTAACCACTGCGCTGTTTGCTTCTTCTATGTCTATTTATGTATCTTGTTAAATCAGTTTGTCTGTTTCTTTGAAGCTCATAAGGAAGCTCATATTGTCTCCAGTACTTATCTAACTATGGTCTCCAGTACTTATTTAACTATGGTCTCCAGTACTTATCTAATGAGGGTCTCCAGTACTTATCTATGGTCTCTGGTGCTTATCTAACTAAAAATATAATTAAATAAATCAATAAAGCTTTGCATGGTTTCACCCAGTAGATTGACATCATATTTTTGGAGTCTGTTTAGGCTAGTTTTCTTTTGTTATAAACATTTACGTGGGTCGGTAATTTGATTATGCAATTCGCTGCAGCTTTTTGTTTTCTAAACTCATACTCATGTTCCAACCTCTTGTTTTCTGGACTATTCTTGAGAACACTGTCTTTGTTCTAGTGACACGGTTCCCTAGGGACCTCTGGGTGGTCAGGTCACAGACGTAGTTGCCACCCTCTCTCTGCTTCTCTTATCCAGTCTGTTGCTGATGACCACCTTGACTGGTTGGAAACGTTCCAACATCTTTTTTCCCAGTTCACTCTGGTTTTCCTCATGCCTGTGATCAGTGTTGTGCGATCGTCATTTGCCTATTGTATAATAATGCATATCGTAATAATAGTTCTTTTATGTCTTTGTTACAATTTTTCACAAGACTATTTGGTGTACAATTAATTTAACATCTCCGTTCACAACTTACCAAATGTTGGTGATCAAAATTTAGTGAAAAATAGAATTATATAATAGAAAAATAGAATTATTTTAATGTAAAATATATCGATGCCTTTACCCTGATAGTCGACGCAACACCTCAGGCTTCCCATCTAAACCCACTGAGCTCCAGTACCGTCGACAACGACCTCCAACAGGTACTCCAAAATACTTCCTCACCAAAAGTCTCAAATGTTGTAAATAACGTCGAACCTGAGTGTCAAAGACCACAGACATGCCACTGTAACTAGGACAGTGAACCAAGAACCAACACACTCCACCAAATGGAAGATAAAAGCTGAGAAATCCTACCAACACAAGAAAATCCAAGTTAGTACGGTAGGCTGCTTTCCGTACACCAAGGAAGGTTAAACGAATATCTGATGGAAAATCTTACTGATCTAACAAATTTACAAACGCCTGAAAGCTGCAGAAACACACACACACACACACACACACACACACACACACACACACACACACACACACACACACACACACACACACACACACAGCCACAGAGATGATTAGAAAGCCACAGATAATATTAGAAAGAACTTTTTTAGTGTCAGAGTGGTTGACAAATGGAATGCATTAGGAAATGATGTGGTGGAGGCTGACTCCATACACAGTTTCAAGTGTAGATATGATAGAGCCCAGTAGGCTCAGGAACCTGTACACCTGTTGATTGACGGTTGAAAGGCGGGACCAAAGAGCCAGAGCTCAACCCCCGCAAGCACAATTAGGTGAGTACACATGTATCATACAAACTTGTTGCACCGAGCAACTGTTGAATAGTGATCTTGCAACCCAAAGCCAGAAGAAAATCATGGTTTGTGTTAACCTGGTTAACTTCTATTCTCCTTTACTTCAGAAAATAAAATGACACAGAATGTACTGTAGCAGCAGAATGTGCTTACAGGCCTTTCAAAGCACTATATCTGCACCCCTGACCTAGGGTTATCATCTTGTTTCTCAGTGACTCTGAGAAATAAGTTCAAGATAACCAAATAGCTTTCTTAGTGCAGCATAGAACAAACCACTTGGTGGGGGAACCATTGAAGTTCGTAAATGACGTAAATCCTGCATCCGATTGAGGTTCACAACTGCCAGGCGACATTGACGATAATGCTGTCAATGTCGGTGATGGGAAAGACTCCCCCCCCCCCCCCACACCTAACTTGCTTTTGATCTGTGTTTTTCTCGGTACACAGTGAGCTTTAGCACATTGTTACTCACTGCTCTATGATGCTAGATAACTCTAACATACTAAATTGTATTCACTGTTAAAGCCAAGCTTCTTGGAAAAATTAAGCAAGTCATTTTTTCTCTCAATAATATCCTTCTGCCATGAAAATTCTTTGATATATTTCTACAGTGTCCTCTAGTTTGCATACTCACTAAGTCACGCCCTTTGACATTATGCCCATTTACTGCATGTGTGCCCCATTTTCTGCATATTTGAAAGCAGTGTACCATAAGCCAAAAATGTAATAAAATGCCTAAAACATGGTTGTAGGCTCACTCCTAAATTTTGGTACTGCTTTTTCTTGTATTCCAGAGTACAAAAGGCAACTACAGTACTGCAGTTGTGAACAAAACACGACTACGACGCCAACGTGACTTGGAACACCTGACACTTCAAGTGGTACACACAACACTACAGAACAAGACTCACCAGGTGGTGCATATGCCACTCAAGGTGCCTCTGAAAACACCACGTTTGACGCCACAAAGTTCCTGCATGCAAGGATCGCCTCAGGATCTCTAATGCTAACTAATGCACTCTTTCTTGATCATGGCTGGTGCAGATTGCGATTAAATTAAGTGTTCACTCAGCCTCATTAACGTCTTGAAGTAAAAAAAAAAGTTTAGATTCGAAAACGTGTTTAAAAGAACATTATATTTATTGTGAAGTAAAGCCTTTCTAAGTAAAAAATAAGATAAACATATGAAGAGTCTGTTATTATGAGTGAAATATATATAAATATATTAATATATGCATATGATGTGACTAGTAGTTATGTGAGGGAAGAGAAAATTAATGTCTGGAAAAACAGAAGACATTACCCTAATTTCAACAATGCTGGAAATGTCAAAATGTAAATTATATTTACAAATGAACAAGAAGGTGGTGTAAGATAGTTGGCAGGCGAGTGGTGTGGAGTTCCTGCCACAGAATAGCAGCTGATTCCACAAGATGATGTCCCCAGCCTCCCTCAACCCTCATCAGGGGTACAGTGCTCAAGATATCAACTTTGGACGTTTGTTCAAGGCTGCCACACAAACCAGCAAGCGACTCTTGAAGGAAGTGTTTGTGATCATGATGAACAGATCCCACGTGAGTGCCACAGACAAGTATCCAATAACCGTAGCTGACTACTGCTTCAATGTCCTCCTGTGGTCCAATGCCAAGTATCGGGAAAATTTCAATGCTGAAGAAAGACTGCTAATGGAGCAAGATCTGTCCTCAGCAGATTTTGATGTTTCTCTCCTCACCAAGATGATCCACAAGCTATTTTCCTTTATGACTTTCCCAGAACCGTTCTCAAGTGCAATACGAGACCTCAAACACATAAGAAACAGAGTGTGTCATAAATATTCGCTGGTTGACAATACTCAACTCCGCACTAACTTTGACGACCTCAAGATAATTTTTGTTAGACTATTAAACGAAGCAGCAGACTTTTTAAGCATCGAAATAGATGATCTACGAAATATTTTCCTACATGAAGCAGATGAGATTTTATATTCGCCGGTAATGACAGAGGCTTCCAACTATTTAGAGAATCTTGAACAATTTCGAGGTGATCTTGTTGGTCGGTTCATCATAAAGTCGAGGCCGGAGGTGATGGAACAATACTCTAAACTGAAGAGTTTAAATCCCTTTACCTGGCTGAGTGATGTACAGTTTCCAGACCTTCTGGTGGATAAGATCTTCACTCCTCTCCAAATTAATGAACAGAGCAGAATTATTGAAGTGGATTCGCTTCTTGCTACAAAATTGTTGAGTCTTGAAACACAGGAGACTTCAGGAATACTCCCATCTGTCCTGGTCCTCTCTGGCATAGCAGGCTGTGGCAAGACGTCCCTCTGCCGGTACTTGCTACACAACTGGAGTGCCAGACTTGGTGTTATCACTGCACTTAGAGCCATTGACCTCATCATCCATATTGAACTCAGGAATGTGACGTGTAACACACTCGTATCGCATCTGCGAAGAAGTTTGCTCAACAAAACTTGCAAGAGTTTTGAAGAAAAAGACATTATTGAAATCTTGCAGGAAATTAATGTCTTGTTTATTATTGATGGGATGGATGAGGCGACGACAGATGGCAGGCAGCTGGTAAATGAGGTGCTGTCAGCAATTGGTAATTCCCGGGTTATCATAACTACTCGTCCCGAGTTCACCTTGAGTGTTGTTCAAGTAGCAGAGAGGTACCATCTCTCCCACATGGAACTCTACGTTCACGGCTTTTCTGAGCAAGGAATGACCAAGTTTACATCAAACGTCTTCATCTCTCTTGAAGCAAACGAGAAGAAACGTCGCCAGCAAGAGTGTGGGTTTCTGAAGATGCTGCAGACAAGTGGCAAAAATCTTGGGGACCACCTCAAGCTGCCTCTTACGCTGGCGATGCTCATCTGCCTCTGGCGAGATGACGAAGCCAGACTGTCTCACGTTACTTCTGCAACAAGACTTTATTATGAAATTTTCAGGATGTGCACCTCGAAGATGATCTACCGGCTTCAGGCAAGAACGTCGCTCCACCCCATGGAGTTGGAGGCCTTCGCGGAGGAGTGGCTAATGAAGTTAGGAAAAGAAGCATTCGAGATGCTGGATAATCGTGAATTTCTTATAAGTCATGACAGACGTAGAGTTCTTGCCTCCTTCTGTTCTGAGCGCCATATTGACAGCATTCAGGTTTTTTCAGCATTTCTTGTGTGTGAAGTAAATAATAGCATGAAGGGAACACAGTACCACTTTAGTTTTATACACAAAAGCCAAATGGAGTATTTAGCTGCATTCTATCTTGCTAGAGAGTTAAAGTTGAAGGGAGAATCTGCAGTTCAAAGGATCATTAGTGTACTGGAGAATCTTAAGTTACACAAACTAAGCATGCAAGTAAACAGAATGCTAGCACAAACGTTGAACTCGAGTATGCTGTCATCCATGAAAGCACATTCTTGGAGCAACACACTAATGTTTACTATAGGTCATCTGTGTAGGATCAAGGCCTCAGATTTAGTCATTTATGAAGTAACGAAAATTGTGCTCGGGTTATGCTCACATTCATACAGCCCAACATCACTTTGTCAAATTTCCTTGGAACCTCAATGTCACCCTCTAGTATATAACATGACTGATCATGCAGGAAGGAACATATTTAAGTGGACGTCTGGGAAGGATAAGCAGCGCCTTCCTACACATTTTTACAGTGAATCATCATTCTGGCAGGTTGCCGTGGAGTCTAACTGCCATCCTCTGGTCTGTAAGATGATTTATCATGTATCAAATACCAAAATCATGTGGCGTCCAAGTGCTGAAGCACTTTATGATCCTGCACACTCTCTTTTCCAGTTGCTTCATCATACAAATTTCAGACTTCATGGAGTTCTAATTAGGATCTATAATAGTATCTTTTCCATAAATGTCTTGGAAGAGAATGGACTCGTTGACATGAAGAGCTACGAAAACTTGGTGCCCCTCCTTTCGTATCTCGCCAGCCAGCCATCCACCAAGGTCGCCCTGAGACTGGACCAACAGTACTACAGCTGGGGCGACCCAGAAACTGCCGACGACCTTCTGACAACTCTTCTCCCAAAAGGAAACCTCACAGCAGTTATGTGCCATCTGGGAACTCTTGGTGCTGCTGCTTTGGCCTCTGTCAGGAAGATTGGCAAAATTTGTATCAGGGTGTCTGATCTCTCAACTCTGATTGTTGTAAGAAACTCTTTGTCTACCATCAGAAGAAATGTGGATGATGTGACACTGCGCCTAGACATTCCACCAACAGTGTTGCCATCGTCCCTGCCGACCTTCAAGCAGCCTCTGGTACTAAGCATCATCCTGAGAGAAGTGGATGACTCCCATGTTGATTGGGCCAGTGAAGCCATAACTCGCCTCAGCACATCTTACAAGGAGATTGACCTCGTGGCATCTCGTCTCACGCCATCAGGAGGAGAAGCATTCCTCAAGGCGCTAAGAAATAAACAAGTGAATATCTTGGATCAACTAACGATACGCTCCACTCACAGGCTTGAGGAGAGTCACTACCAGGAAATGTCTCAAATGATCCAGTGTCACTTTTCTTGGTGGTACTGAGGACCTCATTGTAGACCTGGGATAACTGTCAACTTCTCTAGCTCCTCATCTTTGAAATATATCTTTCAATACTATAAAAGAGGATGTTTGTCTGTTTATCCAGTGTTGAATTCCACGTGCTTGGGCTGAGCTTCACTGAAATTGACAGATATAATGGTTTAAGGTCAAGGATGAACATAGGCTGGTCAGGGTTGCCAGAATTCAAAAGGAAATAGCGTACCAGGTTCACATTCAGATTCTCACGAAGATTTTTTTCACTGCCCATCAGTTACACAGCTAAATATTCTGAAAACAAACATTTACATTTCTTTTTTGTATAGAAATATTCATTATTCACTGATCTTGGGGAAAATTAACAAATTACCTGCTATCCATAATTTGCCCGTACTTGCATAAAATAGACAATCCTCTCAAAGCTTCATAGGTTTCTTAAGCTGTGCTTCTTTCTCAGAATAAAGTGGTAACTATTTAGTTTTTCAGTTTGTCACACCCGTATACACCTCTCTCCTGTAACCTCCCACAAATTAGACACTTGTATTTTTTATGAGATGCACAGACACATCACACACAGAGATCACACTAACGTGATGCATCAAATGAACAAATCCACAAGGGCCGTGACGAGGATTCGAACCTGCGTCCAGGAGCATCCCAGACACTGTCTTACTGAACTCCAATAAGTTCAGTAGAACTTCGGTTTCAACTCTTTTACCCTGTCGTAGCTCAGTCGATTAAGGCAGTGTCTGGGATGCTCCCGGACACAGGTTCGAAACCTCGTCACGGCCCTTGTGGATTTGCACAGACACATATTTCAGGGATACAATCTATAACTATCCTGTCCATGTTGTGACAAATCACCAACTTTAAATATCTTTGTTCAAAAATTAGAAGCCAGTTGGAAAGTTTGCTAGATATTCGCTCACAATTCTAGCGTTCAACCCTACGTTTGGTTACATTCTAGGGGAAACAGAATGTTATGGCTGATGCTTTTTCTCGGCCAGGAGTTGCAATTCAGGTAGATCGTCCATCATTAGATGCCACAGCAGTTGAGACGGAACAGAGACAAAACCCCATATGGACACCTGTCATTATGTTTTTGACTAAGCAAGATACTCATCCGATTCACAAACCCCCAGTACCATTGAAAGAATTAGTAATGATAAACAATTTACTGTGTAGGATATTGAAGCTAGGGACCTCCCTATGAAGTGCTGGTAGTTAGTTGTCCCAGCAGTATTAGTACCAACTGTGTTAAAGATTATCCATGACTCGCCAGCCAGCCATCCACCAAGGTCGCCCTGAGACTGGACCAACAGTACTACAGCTGGGGCGACCCAGAAACTACCGACGACCTTCTGACAACTCAGAAGGATCGTCAGCAGGAAAGGATCATACACTCCAGCAAAGTCGGTTGAAGTATTTCTGGCCCAAAATGGCTAAGAGATTGCTCAATATGTTGATAGGTGATTAGTCTGTTTACAGCATAAGGGTCACATCATGGGACCAAACCCAGTCCAAGTGTACCTAGCGACTACAGCACCATGGGAACGAGAATCAAAGGATTTGTTGGCAAATTTTGCAGAAACAGATAAAAGGAACAAACCCATGCTTGTAATGGTTGATAAGTTTCCAGTTATAGTGAATTAGTTCCTATCCAGGACAAAAGAGCAGCAATGATAGCGAGTGCATTCCATGATCGAATAATTTGAAGATACAGTATGCCCAAAGTCATCCTTTCGGACAGTAGTTCATAGTTCAGTAATAGTATATTAACTAGTTTGTGTGCCTTATATAACATTAAAGAATATAGTATTATGCCATATCATCCAGCACGTAATGGGTTTAGCAGAGCGTACTAACAGGAAAGTGTTAGATACTTTGAGTCACCTTGAATTTTGATAACAGTAATTTTGTTGAGTTTACTCCATTAGTTCAGTCTGCTATAAAGTCTTCAACTAACGCATCAACAGGAGACACCCCTCATGCTATCCATTATGGTACAGGTAAGATCCTTTCAAATGATTTTATTAACGTACCCCCATGACCCTTTGTGTAATCCGGATGATTATGTTCAAGTAAAGAATAGACATATGCAACTAGTTTTCAAGAAAAATACAAGAACACTTGTCTAATGCAACAGCAGAGTTTACTCGAGCAAGAAATGCACAAGCTACACCTAATAAGACAAATGTGGGATCACCCAAAGAGCTGTAGTCTTCTGGGCGAATGGGTTATCATGTATCTTGCCTCACCTCCGAGTACCTGTACCTCATGTGTCCTAATATTACTGTACAATGTATTGTATATACTTGTTTCAACTTTTGAAGTGTATCTTAACCATATACCACCGAGAAGTCCACCGTGGTATTATATTTTATAGTGCACGTCATCGGGAGTTGTCTTAGTGTGCTAGCAACCACACTGAGGCCAGGAATTCCTCAGACAAGGAACACCACCTGTCACCTCACAGTTCACTGAGTGTGACTGCTATCATCAAGATGTTAACCCTATCATGGTCTTCACCTTGTAAAAATATTTTGTAAATTTGTACATCACAATTTTGTTTCTGTTATCTAGTTTTAAGTTCAGTGTGGTTCCTAGTCCATGACTCTTGTTCCAATTTGTTAAGATAATTTTTTGTATTAATATCCAAACATGTCAATTGATACTAGATGTTGATCATTTTTTAAAAATTTTGAGTATGTACTGTTCATACCTGATGATTATGCATGCATATGTTCTTCACGCTCGTGTTCCAAATAATACATTATTACCATAACCATATATCACATGATTTTTCATAGAGTAGGACCATGTTCTAATTTTATTTTTTCACGTGCCAAGCAGTGTCAATGTGCACACCTGTTCTGTCATTTAACTTTGTGCCACCGAGGTCCTTCAGAACCTTTGTATTAGCTAACTGGAGAATTGTCGACAAGGGATGTTGACCTGGCGGAGTGTCCGAGCAGTGTCAGCCTTCAAATTGTAGATGGTTAGAATGGGCACTAATCGCAAAGCAGCTAAGTCGCTGACATCATACCCTTAAGCTGGAGTGGCGCTCAAGGGTAGGCCAGGCAGTCAGTTGATAGTCTCTCTAGAGCAGGTGGGCCTCAGGTAAGCCGGGTATTGTGTTACCTACCAATAAAACAGTTACAGAAGTAACCAGTGTGTATTCTATACATTCCCAATTAAGATTATCACGTCTAGCAAGACTAGCAAGAAGAGGTCAAAATAGTTGCATTCATTTGAACAAGACTCATTATGAGTGTTTCATCTTATATATTTCAACATGGTGAACCGAGACAAGAAAATGTATCCAAAACTATTAAACGTCTTTTTTTTTTTTACAAAAATGGTTGACACCAATTTCCTTTTGTATTTCAGAGTGAATCAGGATGTTACGAGCACCTAATTGATTATATTCTCTGATGGGTGATGTTGACATCTAGCGACGTCACTCAGCACGTCAGGGGGGGGTTGACATCTCAAGCTTATCCAAGTGGCAAACAGGTGACACTGTGCCTTAGTATATATATATATATCACCACAAGTGCCAGCTACACCACAAGTGCCACTCCTGGTGCTGTGGACAACACAAGTGCTGTAGGCAACACAACCAATCTCGGGAAATTACTTCACTGGAGATTAAGGTTTCTGTGTCTTGCAAACTGCACAACCGCTGAGCCTGTCTCTAATGAGAAAATTATGTTAATTATTTATTTATTATTTTAAACAAGACAACATTTTAAAAATAGAACAAATTCTACACTTAAGTAAATATACTAAACGTTTTGATGTTATAGTGAAGTAAATATATATATATACCTGGGATATAATGTATGTTATTACAAAAGGAAATAAATCAGGAAATATCATAGTATTTCCAGATTTTTATCGATCTAGGAATGTTGGAATTTTAAAAGACATTTCTTAAATTTACAGTTAACGTTTTGAGTATGTTATTACTGTACCATGAACATGGTTCCTAAATTCTAGTTCCATAATGATGTCCCCAGCCTCCCTAAAGCCCCATGAGGGGTACAACGCTCAAGACATGAACTTTGGACGTTTGTTCAAGGCTTCCACACAGACCAGCAAGCGACTCTTGAAGGAAGTGTTTGTGATCATGATGAACAGATCCCACGTGAGTGCCACAGACAAGTATCCAATAACCGTAGCTGACTACTGCTTCAATGTCCTCCTGTGGTCCAATGCCAAGTATCGGGAAAATTTCAATGCTGAGGAAAGACTGCTAATGGAGCAAGATCTGTCCTCAGCAGATTTTGATGTTTCTCTCCTCACCAAGATGATCCATAAGCTGTTTTCGAGCATGAACCTTCCTGAATCCTACTCAAGGGCGATACGAGACCTAAAGAATGTCCGAAACAGAATGTGTCATAATCATCTGGAGATGGACCATGCAGAGCTCATTGCTAACTTTGACGACCTCAAAATGTTTTTTGGTAATCTCTTAAAAGAAGCTGCAGATTTTTTCAGCATTGAAATAGAAGACCTGCATAATATTTTCCAGAGTGAAGCAGATGGGATCTTGCACTCACCTACAACGACAGAGGCTTCCAGTTACTTTAATAATCTGGAACAATTTCGAGGTGATCTTGTCGGTCGGTTCATCATAAAGTCGAGGCCGGAGGTGATGGAACAATACTCTAAACTGAAGAGTTTAAATCCCTTTACCTGGCTGAGTGATGAACAGTTTCCAGACCTTCTGGTGGATAAGATCTTCACTCCTCTCCAAATTAATGAACAGAGCAGAATTATTGAAGTGGATTCGCTTCTTGCTACAAAATTGGTGAGTCTTGAAACACAGGAGACTTCAGGAATACTCCCATCTGTCCTGGTCCTCTCTGGCATAGCAGGCTGTGGCAAGACGTCCCTCTGCCGGTACGTGCTACACAACTGGAGAGCCAGACTTGGTGTTATCACTGCACTTAGAGCCATCGACCTCATCATCCATATTGAACTCAGGAATGTGACGTGTAACACACTCGTATCACATCTGCGAAGAAGTTTGCTCAGCAAAACTTGCAAGAGTTTCGAAGAAAAAGACATCATTGAAATCTTGCAGGAAATTAACGTCTTGTTTATTATTGATGGGATGGATGAGGCGACGACAGATGGCAGGCAGCTGGTAAATGAGGTGCTGTCAGTAATTGGTAATTCCCGGGTTATCATAACTACTCGTCCCGAGTTCACCTTGAGTGTTGTTCAAGTAGCAGAGAGGTACCATCTCTCCCACATGGAACTCTACGTTCACGGCTTTTCTGAGCAAGGAATGACCAAGTTTACGTCAAAGGTCTTCTCTTCTCTTGAAGCAAACGAGAAGAAACGTCGCCAGCAGGAGTGTGGGTTTCTGAAGATGCTGCAGACAAGTGGCAAAAATCTTGGGGACCACCTCAAGCTGCCTCTTACGCTGGCGATGCTCATCTGCCTCTGGCGAGATGACGAAGCCAGACTGTCTCACGTTACTTCTGCAACAAGACTTTATTATGAGATTTTCAGGATGTGCACCTCGAAGATGATCTCCCGGCTTCAGGCAAGAACGTCGCTCCACCCCATGGAGTTGGAGGCCTTCGCGGAGGAGTGGCTAATGAAGTTAGGAAAAGAAGCATTCGAGATGCTGGATAATCGTGAATTTCTTATAAGTCATGACAGACGTAGAGTTCTTGCCTCCTTCTGTTCTGAGCGCCATATTGACAGCATTCAGGTTTTTTCAGCATTTCTTGTGTGTGAAGTAAATAATAGCATGAAGGGAACACAGTACCACTTTAGCTTTATACACAAAAGCCAAATGGAGTATTTAGCTGCGTTCTATCTTGCTAGAGAGTTAAAGTTGAAGGGAGAATCTTCAGTTCAAAATATCTCCATTTGGATGGAAAATTTGATGATAGACAACACAGGCAGGACAGAAAACAAAATATTACAAATATCCCCAAGCAAATTGTTATCAATGAAAGTAAATAAATGGTTGAACACCCATGCCTTTATTGTAGGCCATCTATGTATGATGAACGCCTCAGATTTGGTTCAAGAATTTGTTAAAAGTTTGTTCCAGTTGCGCCTACGTACCTTCGGCCCATCGTCACTCTGGCAGATTGTTTTGGAGTCCGACCTACATCCTGGGGTCTGCAAGATGATTGACACTGTGTCAGACAATACATTCATATGGTATCCATATACTGAAGAGCTATGTTATCCAGGACATCCAGTTTACCTATTGCTTAAACATACAAATTTCAAACTTCATGGAGTTAATATTAGGATCCATGGCAGCGTTAATTCCGTCAGTGTCTTGGAAGAGAATGGACTCGTTGTCATGAAGAGCTACGAAAACTTGGTGCCCCTCCTTTCATATCTCGCCAGCCAGCCATCCACCAAGGTCGCCCTGAGACTGGACCAACAGTACTACAGCTGGGGCGACCCAGAAACTGCCGACGACCTTCTGACAACTCTTCTCCCAAAAGGAAACCTCACAGCAGTTATGTGTCATCTGGGAGCTCTTGGTGCTGCTGCTTTGGCCTCTGTCAGGAAGATTGGCGAAGTTTGTATCAGGGTGTCTGATCTCTCAACTCTGATTGTTGTAAGAAACTCTTTGTCTACCATCAGAAGAAATGTGGATCATGTGACACTGCGCCTAGACATTCCACCAACAGTGTTGCCATCGTCCCTGCCGACCTTCAAGCAGCCTCTGGAGCTAAGCATCATCCTGAGAGAAGTGGACGATTCCCATGTTGATTGGGCCAGTGAAGCCATAACTCGCCTCAGCACATCTTACAAGGAGATTGACCTTGTAGCATCTCGTCTCACACCCTCAGGAGGAGAGGCATTCCTCAAGGCGCTAAGCGATAAACAAGTGAATATCTTGGATCAACTAACGATACGCTCCACTCACAGGCTTGAGGAGAGTCACTACCAGGAAATGTCTCAAATGATCCAGTGTCACTTTTCTTGGTGGTACTGAGGATCTCACAGAACACGTAGTACTATTGTTGTTCCATCTCTAAAAATGTGACAACATTTTTATAGATGGATGTGAATGTCCATAGTACTGTGGTACTACTGGTGCCTTATCTATAAAAATTGGGATACAGAAGTACTATTTGAGGGGAGTAAACAATATAAATCATCAAATTAAATAATACTTGAACAAGGTATAATAAATACAGCAAAAAAGTGTTTAGTTTCATTATCAGGGTTTTTAGCACATTCTGTGAGAAGTTGATAAACAGAAATATAATCTGTAAACATAATTCCAAAACTGGGGATGGTGCATGTACCTCGCAATATTAGTTACATTAGAGATCCTGCAAACACATCATTACCAGGTGTTAACACTAACACAAGAGATGTTAGGGGCCTGACTTCTGAGTGGACAGCACTTCAGATTCATAGTCCTGAGGTTCCGGGTTCGATCCCCAGTAAAGGCGGAAACAAACGGGCAGAGTTTCTTTCACCCTGATGCTCCTGTTACCTAGCAGTAAATAGGTACCTGGGAGTTAGACAGCTGCTACGGGCTGCTTCCTGGGGGTGTGTAACAAAAAGGAGGCCTGCTCGAGGACCGGGCCGAGGGGACGCTAAGCCCTGAAATCATCTCAAGATAACCTCAAGAAGATAACACTCCAAGTTAACAGGATGGAAGCTTTAAGGAGATCCTAACTGGCATTGCACAAATTTTGTTAGTTTTGTTTTTAATTCTTCTATAAATCCTAGATTTATGCCTATATTTTCAGCTTTATTTGAATTAAATTATGTATTTATATTTTTTCAATTCGCCAACGACTTTGCAAACTGGAGAGTTGCTATCAAGTAATTTTATTCTATGAAAAAAAACATGATCAGGTTAATTAAATACAAGTCACTGGAAAGAATATAAAAGTAAGTTAGATATTTAAAAGAGATATTGTTGTTGATTTGTAATGCTGCATTTTTGTTTAATTAAAATATCAAAAGTACAGACATATTACCATATATAGCAATATAGTAAAGAAATATTAATCTGATTTCTTTTTTTTTTAGTAAAAACTATTACATGCTGTCAACAATATGTCATAATTTACACCCTGCTCTTATGATTTTTCAGGTTAAGTAATAATTGTAATTAAGAAGCAATAAGATGCTTATCTTAACATACTAAGAAGGTTAGGTGAGGTCGGTGTTTTCTATGAAACTTTTCAATGTAAACTAAAATATTCACAAACAATTAGTATGTCACATATGCACTTATTAAATAAGCCAATATTGACTAAAAGCAAGTGCGAGAACGGGTTGGATTTTTCTCAAGAACCTGTTCGAGTGTGAATTTATCGTTATGGTATAATATTTTGTTCCTTATTATGTACTGAAAATGTATATGACCAAAAATTTTTATTTTGGTGAAATTCCACGTCATTAAATCATTAAATTAGGCAAGGTAAATATGCAAAGAATTTGTTTTAATAAGTGATGTGTATTTTGTATAGGACGTACAAAACTATCATTGAATTTTTAACAGGACGTACAAAACGATTATTGATCAAATTAATGAATAACATGAATAAAAGTGAGAAAATCTGTAGAAGCCGTGATGAGGATTCGAACTTATGCAGTGGGGTGTTCCCAGGCACACGCTCCGATAAAACAAAATCACATAATGAATCCACATGGAGAAACTACATAAAACTCACATATCGAAAATACATTGCATCACAGCTGTTTCCTGTAGCCAAAAGATGAACACAAAATTTCACATTCATATATTGTAATTTGGCTTCAAAGCCAATATGTAGACAGAGGAAGCTCCCGTTGAATTCCCGCTAATTCAATTGTAGGTGTTATTAGAGATTTCACCACTGGAAAAACATTAAATCATTCAAGCGATGAGGTTATAATTAAATTTATCTGCCTGTCTCTCTCTCTCTCTCTCTCTCTCTCTCTCTCTCTCTCTCTCTCTCTCTCTCTCTCTCTCTCTCTCTCTCTCTCTCTCTCTCTCTCTCTCTCTCTCTCTCTCTCTCTCTCTCTCTCTCTCTCTCTCTCTCTCTCTCTCTGTCTCTCTGTCTCTCTGTCTCTCTGTCTCTGTGTCTCTCTCTCTCTCTGCGCATGATAAATCTCTGTCCAACCGAACACAGTTTTGTAGTACAAGATATTTATAGTGTGATACTGTATCAGTTTGGCGCTCCTGTTGCCACAGCTCGAGTATTTATCAGGTCGGTCCACTGGGGCTTCTGTCCCCTCTTTGTCCATTGGCTATTGACCAGGCATGGTTCCCCGCGTAGCGCTGGTGTAAGTGGCGCATATATGACTAATACGGTGCACTGGGGCTCTACTATCTTCACTTTCTCTCTCCTTCTTTTACTTTCTCTCCCTCTCTCTCTCGTATTCCTCCGCCTCTCACACACTCTCACACGACTTGGTAATGATTCAGGAGGGACCGGAACATCATCGCTTCTCCATCTTCTGAGTCGCGGTTTGGTCAACGTTTCTTCAGCCACGTTATTGTGCCACTCTCTCTCTCCCTCACCTCCCTCCCACTCTCACCTGTCTCCTTCCCTCTCTCACTCGCCCTGCGCCCTCTCCCCATCTCGCCAGACCATTGCTCTACCCTCAGGAGGTCGCTAATCCTTCCTCCATTTCACATCTCGTTCATCTCATCAATATTCAAGAATTATTAATTAAGCTCTTGATGGACAAGACTCCTTGCTTGGGGAGGGGAACAGGTGTTATGGATCGACCTTTCCTTAAAGAAGAAGACAGTGCCGGATTACACACTTTCTGACCGGATTTTGACATCGAGCAATGGATTACTTTTTGCATATTTCTATGTTTTATTTAATATTTACAGTATTGCCTTCAAATGTTGGGTTCGTATTGCATTTGAGTAAATATAAAGCCGAGAGAGAGAGAGAGCGTGTAGTCTACCAGTCATCATATATACACAACCCCTATTGTTCTACACCTGTTATCGATATATTATGCTCCCTCTGCAGGCCCGCACCTCTCACCCAGACTAGGGAACACAGGGGACATATTGGCGGGAATAACTTGGGACATTAGGACTCCTGGATGGGGGAAATGGGACATACCCCTGAGACGCATTTAAGACACTGAAACGCGTTGAGTAGAATATCTCAAATTTAAAGCTAATCTATTGAGTAGTGCATCTAACAAGGATTTTATTGTCCCCCTTATAATGGGGGTCATGGTAGTGAACCCATTACTATAGGAGTCATGAATGTGATAAGTGACGAGCACTGAACAATGAAGGAGATTCTGGAGGCCGGTCCAGGAACACGTCCAGGATTGTAACCAGATTGGGACGTGTTTTATACAGGAGGGACGAGAGCCGCCATGAAATTGAATCTCCCGATATTGGCTTTGAGGCAATTCCACGGCTGGGAAGTTTGGTGCAAATTTTTTGTTAAGGATTAAGTCAACAACTTTGGTAATACTGTGGTTAGACTTGTGGAATATTGTGACTCTGTCTGTCTGTCTCTATCTCTCTCTCTCTCATTAATCTATTCTTCTCTGTCACTTTTAACCCTTGAGCCTCACGAAATATGGAAGATCTTGATGAATAAAATTATCAAAAGTATTTTCAGATAAAATACTGTATTTCATCTTGGAAGCTTGCATATAATGTTTAAGCTTGTATACAAATTTTTACCAGGCATTAATGCTTAAACTTGCTCACAAAGTTTTAGCTTGCATACAACGTCTAAGCTTAGTCTGAAGGACTTATAACACTTGCTGATTGGCATAATGGAAGCTAAAAGATAAGGAGATTACGCCAACACAAGAGATATTAGTGTGTGTGTGTGTGTGTGTATTCACCTAGTTATGCTTGCAGGGGTTGAGCTCTGCTCTTTCGACCCGCCTCTCAACTGTCAATCAACTATTTATACTACTATTTTTTTTCTCCCACACCCCACACTCACACATCCCAGGAAGCAGCCCGTGACAGCTGACTAACTCCCAGGTACCTATTTACTGCTAGGTAACAGGGGCATTAGGATGAAAAAAAACTCTGCCCATTGTTTCTCGCCGGGGATCGAACCTGGGACCACAGGATCACGCGTCCAGCGTGCTGTCCGCTCAACCACCGGCCCCCAAGTGTGTGTGTGTATGTTATACAAGACAACAACGGATCATCAATGCAATATTCCTCACATCTTCCCCTTGTGGACTCTAACCAGAGTCAGGCAATATGCAGTCCAGATCCTGTGTACACGGCTGCCACCAATGAACGATTACCGTTGAAAACACATATTTTTTTCGACAATTCTCTTGGCTCGATTTCCAACAATTTCTCGTGGAAAACAAATATGTTTAGGCCGTTCTCTCCATGGGTCACTCCGTACGAAATGCAACTGTTTTGCCTAACTACAAACGTACGAACCCAAGCAACCCACCTAACCTATCGCGGCGGATAGGTTAGGTAGGTTGTTAGGTTAGGTTAGGTAGATAGGTTAGGCTCAGAAAACGTCAATATTACGGTGCTGCAATTTGTACAATTACGTCACATTTGTTGACGGATGAGAGGAGAGGTTGACCTCACGCCCCCAAGGTCCACCTCGAACCGTCGCCTCACCGGTATTGGCCACCCAACAATTCCCGGTCCTGGAAAGCTTCGGAGGCTCGAACCAGGCTTAGCTAAATTGCTTTGGCAATATTTTTATACAGACAGCGGCGAATATTGCAAGGTCAGATACAAATTTTGTAAAAAGTGATTCAGTATTTTGACGATGCAGTATTTTCACAAAGAAAAATGATTGACGAGTTGAAATTTCTCAATTGTAACATCTGCAATTTATCAAATTAGCTTATCAGTTCAACCTGTCCTCACCAACTACTTGGGCTGGACGGTAGAGCGACGGTCTCGCTTCATGCAGGTCGGCGATCAATCCCCGACCGTCCAAGTGGTTGGGCACCGTTCCTTCCCCCCAATCCATCCCAAATCCTTATCCTGACCTCTTCCAAATGCTATGTAGTCATAATGGCTTGGCGCTTTGCCCTGATAGTTCTCTTCCCTTCAACCTGTCCTCTCAGCTGATACGTCGATTTTTTTAACGGAATCGACCAATCCGTTTAAAACGCGACGCATAAGTGAAAAATCAAAAGCACCGGAATATGCACGTGTTTTAACCATCGACCTCGGTGGGTGAGGTGGGTTGCTTGGGTGTGTACGTTTGTGGTTATGCAAAAATAACCGGAAGAATACTGAAAAGAATTACTGAAAAAAAAATTGTTCCACTTACGGGCTATTCATGCCCGTGCCACCTCTTGGGTGGCTTAATCTTTATCAATCAATCAATCAGTAACCGGACAGCTGACCGTCGCCAGGCAACCTCTGGATGCTGGATGATGCTTGACGCCTCTGAGACGCCCATCTTCCCTCTCGTGTGTGTATGTGTGTCTTCGGCCTCACATGAGGTCCACGGTTCGAGTCTCCCAGAGCCCAGGTGACTGGAACACTTAC